GATTTCAACGGAAATACACGTTTTGAGGTCCTCCGAGTGCAAATAAACAAGTCCCGAAAAATGGTCTGTGTGTGTATATATATATATGTGAACAGCTTAGCTCAAAAACGAAAAGCCGTACGGTACGAAACTGAAATTGTGTATTTGAGGTTATTTTTTATCCTTGGATGTTACAGCAACTTCGTCAAAATCGGCAAACCGGAACACATTTTCTCAAAAAGGGCTCAAACGATTTTGATTAAACTCAGTATATCAATGTATTATTAAGCAGTTTTTAATAGAATGTATGTTTTATTCTCATTGATGTTCTCTAACAGGGCTTAAATGGCTAATTTTCTATATTAGATCTGTCTAAAGTACCTTTAATTTTTTTTTTTTAAGTAATTAACCATTTCACATAAATCTTTGTTACGAAAAAGAGTTAAATATACAATATGAAAGAATTTTATAATTGAATAAAGGAGATCGTAAGGGAAAATAGTTGTAATAGAAGAACCAAAGGACTCAGACAATATTATGTACATATACATATGCGGTTTTCATAAATGCTATCGTTGGTATTGTTTAATATTTAATTGTATAGAATACAGCGATATAAAAATTAAAATTTGTATATATTTAAGGGGATTTAAACATATAAAAATACCCACAACGAAAAGTAAATAAATAAAGCATCCATAATTTCTATTTTATACTTTGTCTGAAAATACTTATTTCTGCTAAGTAGAGGGTGGCAAAAGAAAGTCGTGTGATGGGCGCACCAGATTTTGCTTTTCAAGATATATTAAGTTCCAATATGTACAGAGTACGTCTCTCTATTTGATAATTTATCATATTTTCGATAAAGCAAATTAAAAACAAATAAATTGAAGTTAAAAATAGATGACAATTTTTAAAAATGTATCAAACACTGATATATTATATTATATAATTTGATGTAATATTGATAAGGCACTAACCTTACGATAGAGAATTATTCGAGCCTGGCACACTGCTCAACTAGACACAACGGTAACGACTGGTTTCCAGAATCTAAATTGAGCAAAAAAACATCGTTGTAATTCGAGGACAACAACAATATTGTCCAACGTCACTGATAAACACTGCTTATGTAATACTTTATTTATATTATTTATTTCTACAAAATGGTAATTTTTGTTTTTATGTTTGTGAATAATTTCGAATCCAAGTGTTCAACGGAAATACGTGTTTCAAGATCCTTTGAATTGAAATAAATAAGTTTGTAAAAAGATCTTTGTTCATCAAGTTGCACATTCTTGAGGCATCAGATTTTGACAGGTTATTAAATTTTCGGAATGAAGAGCTTTCAAACCAGAAGACAACAAGAAAACATAAAGCAGACCATAGCAGATATAATTGTATATCATTTAAGATTTATATTTTCGCTTGCTCTGTTTTACGAACAGCAGAGCAATAATATTTCTTCGGTGAGAAGAGTATGGACACCCTTGAACTCAAAATCAAAAAGTCGTACAATCCTGAATATATATATTTGAAGTAAGTATAGGCCTGGGATGTTGCAGTGACTTTTTCATCAAAATAGACTTGAGAGTATTCATTAAAGCTCATTTAATAAGGAAAAATATTTTCTTATTCTGAACAAAAAAATAAATCGATTGATATATACTAACATAAAAATCCAGAGAAAGCATAAGAAAAAAAAAATCATTTGTTTTTAAAATTATATGAAATTCGGAGGGGGCTGTCTGCCAAACGGCGGAACAGCCCCCATTTTACAAATTATACAACTGTTCATTTAATTGCATATCGCTAATGTTAGTGCAAGTATGTGGCTAAAGCACTCTCGCTCAATCTACACTGGGTTTAGCCCCAGTGACGCGGTTGAGAGAGAAGTGCAGGGATCTCCTGGAGTCATGCTTTTCTCTCCACAGTCTGAGAGTCCGGCTCGGAGTTCTCTCGCCTGATTGTAAATAGTATATACTGGTATGTATGTGTTTTTTTTTTTAATTATTTATGTTTAGGTTATTTTATAGTTATTAATTGTATATATATTATTTTTCTGTATAATTTATTTTTTTAATTGTTCGTAGAGTGTGAATGTGATCTCTGAACATTATTATAAATGTCCTTTGAGACATAATGTAATATTACCACATTCATCAAAATACATCGCTCCTGAGAGCCGGAAAATGGATTGTTATGACAAAAAACAAAAAACTGTCGTATTATATTATAAAGATAGATAGTTGTGTTGAGATGGTAGCCATAGCAACTGGTTTACTTTTCATCATAATTGTTTGCATTTAATTTACTAAAACCTTCACAACTCCTCAGAGTTTTCTCCTAAATCAGTGCGAATATTTTAGTTGGAAAGCCGAATTATTACTCTTCAAAGCCGTATAACTTTTTGATCTGATACCTCCATAAGGTGCAAATAAATAACAACTCCTAGCATGTTTCCATTTTATATCTAAAGTATTAAAATATTTAGGGGGGTCCGGTTTGTGTCATTTCGTGTAGTTTATTTAGGCCTAAATTCCTGCTGAATTCCGTGTGGATAGCTGGAAGCATGTTAAAATTATCACACTTTTTGTAATTTAAAAAAAAAAACCTTGGTTCCAATTCATAAGAAAAACATTATTTTTTTATTGCCATGAAAATTCGTATTTCGGGGTTCTTCGAAATGCGAAATACAAATCTAAACTCTGTTCCTCCTTAAGAAATTATTTGAACCCTCGTTGCTCTTAGGGTCAGTTCAAATTATTTCTAATTTACAAATTTCTGATTGATTTTCATGATTTCTTTTCTTCGTTTTGTAGGGAATTTAGTAAATTTTCAAATAATAATGGATCTAATCATGAAAAAAATGTATACTTGTTAATTTTAATTTTAACTTTACTATATCAATAATTATTAAATTTTCAATCTATTTATTCGTTAACATTCCTTTTTTTTATCTGTTAACCTACAGTTATCAAATGTAATCTCTTCTTAGTTTGTTATACATTTATTCCTTATCTTTTATCGCAATCTGTTTACTTTTAACTTACATGATATATTCTCCTTTATTTTCTATTTTTATTCATACTTATTTTCCATTTGTTTGTATCTTCTACATATATAATATTTGATATTTTAACTAAATTGTCATCCACTATATCTCTAATATCATCTTTTTATTTCTGTATCAGACAACTTATTCTTATTTTACATCTACTTATATTCATCTATTTTATTTGCACCGTGTTTTGTATCTTTTTTAGCCCCGAAGAAGACCTGCAAAATGGGTCGAAACGTCGGCAAAAATTAAATGATTAATATCTGTTAATTTAGTATTTATTTGACTGCACCCCCCCCCCCCCGATTAACTCCTTCTCATATTATATCAACGGTCAACCATCTCTACATCATTATGTATAATTTTTAAGTAATTCGCAAATAAATTTTCTTTTCATTCATAACTTTTTTTCCCTGAAATTTTGGGTGGATGTCACTATGATTCGTCACTGCTCCATTTATAATACTTTCGTTTGATACCTCATTCATCAAAATAAATCGCTCCTGAGAGTACTAAATCTGAGATCTTTAGATTAAAGTAAAAGAATTTAATTACACGTTATTACAACACAAGTTAATTCTAACACTAATCCAATATAACAATACAAGAATGTATTTTCTAATAAATAATCATTAACATCTGATTTAAAGATAAGTAACAGTTGAAGTGTTAAAGGTTGCTCAAGTAACCTTAAGCAGACCCTACACGGTAATTCATGAATGAACGTCACAAGAAGTTCCAAGATTGCCCGCGATCGCTTTGATCATGAAGACCCTTACACGTTCAATCATTACTGATCATTACTTATCGTTGCTGATACCAATTTAGCGCAGTTGTAAACAAAGAAACAGCATAGATATGCTTATTTGGACATTGTCATTTATAATATTGGGCATCAAGAGAAAAACGGAGATATAATAATTACTTCCTAGTGACTGAAAATCGTTTAGACCAAACTTAGAAAAATATAAGTCATCTACATACAAAAATCTAGGAAAATTATTGCGAAAATAATCAATTTGTTAAGAAAAATGGAAAAATTAATGGCAAATAAACACAACAGTTAAAGATTTTTTTTTCTATAAATAAATTGTGAAGTTTCCACTTTTTTTTCTCTCCAATTTATTGCTTACTTGGCTATTTAAAGAAAAAATAGTTGAAAATGGTTAATAATAATATAGACTAGGGTTATAAACAACTATTTACTTTTATGAAATTATTTACTTAATAACGAGACCTAGGTAAACTAACCTATCTAGTAGTAAGGTTAGTCTCATAGAAAATCGTTTTGACAAAAGTTAGTAAAATATAAGTCTACTACTTACAAAAATTAAGGAAAGGTATTGCGAAAATAATGAATTTGTTGAGGAAAATGGGAAAAGAACTGATAAATATACATAACGTTAAAGTTTTTTTTTTCCTAAAGTAAATTGTGAAGTTTCCTCATTTTTTTTTTAATTTGTTGCCCACTTAACTAATTAAAAGAAATAGTTGAAGATGGTTTAAAATTATAAACAAGGGATATGAAAAATTATTTAACTATTTACATATAATGAAAATCAGAAATTTATAATGGTTGTGAGGCCTAGGTAACCTAACCTATCCAGCAGTATGGTTAGTCTCCGCACTACTTTTACCTCAGTCCCCCCTCCACTTCTCGTGAATAAACCTTTGATTTCCGGATGTTCGGAAATCCGCAGCGCACCACCATCAGTACTTCATTCACTACCTTACACGATAATTCGGAACGTCATTAGTGCAATTCCGATTGACCGTGTAGGGTCCCCTTTACATATATTATAAAGATAGATTTTCAGTGATAACAGTGTAAAATGTGTTAGATGACAAAAATAAAAATACTAATTAATTTTATTACCTAATCAGTTTATATTGTATTTATTTTAAAATAATTTCTATTTATTTAATAATTATTTATTAATATCAAAATATTCCATAACAGAGACGAAGACTCCCATCTCGCCGTACTCGATCAACGAGCGGATCCTCTTAACTTCCGTGTTCCATTATCATTTCCCGACTCTTCTGAAGAAATTAGACCAGCTGCTGCCGCCTCCTTACCAAGAACCAACAGGTAACCATCGTTCGGATATGTTAGAGAATATAATTGGAGCATAACATGAACAGCTGCGTAAGATTTGTAATTGGTGCCCATGTCTCTCACCACTACAGTGAGTTAGAGTGGCTCTTCCCCTCCATTCGAAGACAATATTTCCTAGGTACGTTCCTCTATCAGATCATCAACAAGTCCTCAGTCCACTCCCTTTCCACAAGATCCCGACCTTCCGACCATTACATTCCTTTTCACAGATCTGACTCCTTCCAAAACTCCTTTATCGCTAGCTCTGTTAATCGATTGGTATATATTAACTTCTTCGTTAAAATCGATTTGAGAGTATTCATTAAAGCTCGTTTAATACCATAGGAAAATTATTTTCTTATTCTGAATAAAAAAATAAATCGATTGGTATATACTAACATAAAAATCCGGAGGAAGTATTAAAAAAAAAAAAAACATTTGTTTTTGAAATTATATGAAACTTGTGGTGGGGAGGGGGGAGGGCTGTCCGCCATACGACGGAACAACCCCCATTTTACAAATTATACTACTGTTCATAATTGGTAATTGGTTGACTGTCGTGGATAATGAAGAGAAGAATAGTTGGGGTGCTCAGTCAAAAAAGGAAGGCAAAAATAAATGATAATATTTATTTTTTACATCTGCCGACGTTTCGACCTGAAGTTCAGGCCATCATCAGGGCTAAGAAAATACTAACAAACTACTCCATTCTCAATGTTTTCATTTTACTATTTATTTTATTCTCATTTCTTATATAACTTTATATTTCTTTTTTATGTTTTTACATTTTATTCTAAGATTCCCAATGTAACACTTTTATTTTCATTTTACTATTTATTTTATTCTCATTTCTTATATAACTTTATATTTCTTTTTTATGTTTTTACATTTTATTCTAAGATTCCCAATGTAACACTTTTATTTTCATTTTACTATTTATTTTATTCTCATTTCTTATATAACTTTATATTTCTTTTTTATGTTTTTACATTTTATTCTAAGATTCCCAATGTAACACTTTTGTCACCCCCTTTTTGATTATGCCTACTTCATCATTCCACACTATGTAACAGTCTGTATTATTTATCTCTTAGTTCTTAGTCATTATTCTAACAATTTTATCTTACTTTATATCTATCTATTTTATTTTTATTTTATCTAGATCTAATCTATTTTATTTTCTCACTTTTTTTTTTTTCTTGTTATTATCTTTTTTACCATCATTACTTAAGTTTCTCATACCTTGTTATCTGGTTATTTTCTTAGCCCTGATGATGGCCTGAACTTCAGGTCGAAACGTCGGCAGATGTAAAAAATAAATATTATCATTTATTTTTGCCTTCCTTTTTTGACTGAGCACCCCAACTATTCTTCTCTTCATCATACAACTGTTCATTTAATTGCATATCGCTAATGTTAGTGCAAGTATGTGGCTAAAGCACTCTCGCTCAATCTCCACTGGGTTTAGCCCCAGTGACGCGGTTGAAAGAGGAACTCCTGGAGTCATGCTTTTCGGCTCGGAGTTCTCTCGCCTGATTGTATAGTATAGTATATACAGGTATGTATGTGTTCTTTATTTATTTATAGGTTATTTTATACTTATTTATTGTATATATATTATTTTTCTGTATAATTTTTTTTTTTATTGTACATAGAGTGTGAATGTGATCTCTGAACACTATTATAAATGTCCTTTGAGACATATTGTAATGTTTTAAATAAACAAGTCAAAATTGCAATGTTAGTGCAAAACGTATGTAGAAACTGAGTTTTTTTTTTTTCTACACATGAGCACAAAAACTGATTATTTCTTTATGATTTATTATTATAATATAATTTCATATTTCATTTCCCTCTGCTATTTTCCATAGTAGCAGACTACTTATTTCAGTTGCAGACTACAAAATATTACCATTAGAACGAATAGAATAAACGTAAAATTGTTACACACAGCCTTTTGCACTAACAGTAGCGATGTGTGTTGAGCTCCTGTAACCTCCTGGTCTTCTAATACTGAATTGATATTTACACCATGGTGCCTTTGTTACGGCCCATCCCGCTTTGTCAATTTAATATAAAATATGACAGTCACTAACAACTTCTTTGTATGATAGTATATTGGTGGTGCCCCGAGATACTCCCAAGTGTCTCACCAACAATGACTTAAAGTGGCTCTTCCCCTCCATTCGAAGACAATATTTCCTAGGTACGTTCCTCTATCAAATCATCAACAATCATCACCCTTCCTACAACCTTCTCCAATTCAAGTCCTCAGTCCACTCCCTTTCCACAAGATCTCGATCTTCCGACCTTTACATTCATTCTCACAGATCTGCCTCGTTCCAAAACTCCTTTATCGCTCGCTCTGTTAATTTCTGGAATTCCCTTCCTAACAAAATTTGGCATTCTTCCTTCCTATCCACATTTAGAACCTTCCTATTCCAATTCCTGTCCCAAAAACAGTCAGATACCCGCTAAACTTTTATGTAAAATTACATATTATTCACAATGATGTATTTATATATAGCTCATCACTTAAATGATCAGATGCTCATCACTCATAAACTTAATATCAGATTCGACTTTCTTTTTATTTTTTTTTCAACAGAAACACACAGTTTACTGCTAAGAAGAATGTAATGTATTTTTTATTTATTTTTTCTAAAAGTGTATATTTATATTTTATTATTGTATATAATTTTAAGTGTCTTGGCATGGTTTCAAGAGTTTTGTACATAGATTTTTCAAACTTTTGTTTATAGTATTTATAAATAATATTTTCTTTACTTATTTCTCTTTATTTTTACTTTTTATGTTTGTTTTTATTTGGTCAGATATAATATTTTAATTTTGTACTTTTTTGTTATTCTAAAGGGACATCGTCCCAGAATAAAATTATTTTCTATTCTATTCTAAAAATATAAAAAATAAATAAATAAGAAATCCTGTTTCTACAAAGATTTTGTCCAGATAAGATAAGCAGAAATGTTTCTTCTCGTTCGATGAGTTATAGGTGAAAAAAATTATCTAAATAATCTAGCTTTTCTAACAGTCAAAATTTCTTTCGAGTTAATCCATGTTAGTATTTTGGGTTTTCATGTTTCATCTCAAATTTACAAGTTAAAAAAAATGGAAGTTATTTTTCACAATATAATCTCCATTTAGATTCTCAATTTTTTGGTCTAACAATATATGAATCAGTCGCCATTTTTAAAGCAGCGCCTCTGAATATAATATCATAGATAAATATTTCGACTTGAAAATGAGCAAAATTGCCTGAAACGCCGTCAAAATAAATAAAAATGAATTGAAGCATGGGGAGGATGTGTAACGATTAAATAAAACTATTTCCTAGAAATTATTAATTTTATTAATTATAAATGCACTTAAAAATTTGGAATATTCAATAAAGAAATAATTATTTTTAATTAGTTTTGTTTTCTTGATTTCTTTTGGATTGTGACCGCCCTCTGCTTCTTGAGAGTGTTATTTACACCACTGCTACGTAAATTGTAATTAATTTGAATTTTTAGTGCTCTGGGGGAAGAAACCCCCCAAGATCAAGAAACGTTACAAGTCACCTTACCTGGAGCCGTTGCCGATCAACGAAAAACCTTGGTATGAGGAGCGAGCCGAGGAGGAACTGGAGAGGAAGGTGATAAGAAGGATGAAGAGAGAGAAGGAGACCAAGGAAAGGCAAGAGCTAATGGATAAAATGAAGCAGCAGGAAGCCATGCTCAAGATCAAGAATCAAGTAAGTCAAAAATAACTTTTTATTAAGTTTTATGTAAGGTACACAATGCGTATTTATTTGTAAGCTTCCTGAATTCCCTACAAAATAAAAAAAAAATCATCGAAATCGGACTATTATTTGCAGAGATATATCATTTTAAACATTCAGTACTTTTTTCTTTTGCAAAGATGATTTCCATTATTTTGGTTTTTGATAAATCGAAAACTTTACAATTATTGAAATAATCGGGACTATTATTTGAGGAGATGGCATTATGATCTGTGCGCATGTCATTTACTCTTCACTCATTATCCAAGCGCGGGAATCGATGTTTACTACAATTTAAGGATTTAAAAAATTCAGTCTATTTACAAAAGACTCATATATATATTACTATAATAGGGCCTATTTGGGCTTACGGAATCGAGCTTTTGGGCTCAACTCAACCATCAAACTCCTCTCGTATCCAATCCCTACAATCCAAAATCCTTCGTGAAATCCTCAATGCTCCTTGCTTTGTCACAAATAAAATCATCCATGAAGACCTTAATGTACAATATGTTTCCGATTTCGCTTCCTCTTCTATTCCTGATAACCCTCTGAGGTGTCCAAAAAGAAGCTGGCATCGGGGCCTTCTAATATAGAAGTATGATTGGAGTGCTACCAATGGGTAGTTTCTCTTCTTATTGTACATGTCATATTACTTGTTCATATTTGTCTGTTGTATTTATCATTTAATACAGTTGTAAATTTCTATAATAATAATTTTTAAAAAAAATGTAAAAACCAAAAATTATTTTAAAAAATCAATTTCAAAAATTCGATATTTTTTTCGATTTTCCCGCTTGTTATCTTACTTTCTTTTCTTCGATAGGAAAAGAGGATAAAGCCAAAAGAAAAGGAAGAACAGAAAACAGCTGTCAGACCAGGAAGCATAACGATGTCCGTCTTCGACGAAGACGATCTTATCAATATGGCGGCGTTGCCACCTCGAGAGAGTGAGCATGCATTATATATATATATATATATATATATATATATATATATATATATATTGCACCTGATAAGATAAAAAGTACACATAAGCATATGCGCAGACTACAGCAATCGCCACTCTCCTCCAATAAAAATAGAGAGGGAACGAGAATTTGCCTCCCCTCCCCCTATATTTCGATGTACAAAAATAAAATTAAAATCAATAACAATAAATCTACATGAATGAATAAAATATGTAAACTAAAATCAATTATGAAATGGAAGCCTCTCGCTAGCTTTAATTTCTATGTTATGAACATGTTAGCGGGGACGAGTGTGTGTTTCAATGGACATAGTGTGATCAATGGTGTTATGGTGTGTTTCAATGGACATGAGCATGCGTATAATTAGTATTGGGACAAAACTACGACTTGCAGTCATACGAAAAATTAATTTATTATAATTTGATTTAAATAAGTAAAATTTGTTTTGGCTATCAAAATCTTACGGAGGCACTACTACTCTCAAATTTATAACTTGACAATTAACGGATAAGTAAACCTTTAATGAACTACATCATCTTGAGTAATGATAAATCTCATAAGTTATTAAAATAAATTAATGATTTTGAGTCACAAAGTTTTCATCACTTTACATAGACACAGTTTTTTAATGAAAATATTTCTTAAAAAAGACTATTTTAATATGCATAATTGGAATTTATTTATTTATTGTTACATTCCGCATCTACCCGATCGGGTCATTAGCGGCTTTAGATGTAATCAAATTAGGTGTACAAATTAATGTCTTTTATAAATTCAAACACTTTTTGTATCTTTTCTTCGTCATCTGAAAGTGCTTCAGATATGTTGGAAGATATATTATGTTTTGTTCTGGTGTCAGAGTATAGTCTGCAAGTTGTTACAATGTGTTTCAGTGTAAGTGATGTGTTGCATGTTTTACAAAATGGTGGTTCCAGGCCTCTCATTAGGTAGCCATGGGTAAAGGCTCCATGTCCTATTCTAAGCCGAGTTAAAATTGTTTCTTCTTTCCTGTTCTTTCTGAAAGAGGTCGTCCACGGTTTGGTATCTTTTTTAATTTCTTGTAATTTATTCGTAGATTGATTCCACTTGAATTACCATTTTTCATTTAGCATTTTTTTGCATTCCAATCTTCAGTCAGCAGTGGTCGTTAAATTGATCATTGTGGTTCCATTAGTTTTTCTTCTTGCCAGGTTCGCTGCTCTGTCTGCAGCTTCGTTCCCAGATATGCCACAATGAGAGGATGCCCAAGCGAGGACGATCTGTCCGGCGACTCCTTCATTTCCCAGAGGCAGTTTTTGATTTTCCTGGAAATGACATTGTCGGCTTTCCTTTCGGCAATGGCCATTAATGAGCTTAAAGAGTCTGTAACTATAAGGCCATTTTTTATTTTTTTTTCCTGTTAGTAATAACAAAGCCTGATATATGGCGAATAGTTCGCCTGTGAAGACGCTGTTTATTTGGGGCAAATTGAATTTGAGGCACTGGTCTTTCAGTATTACTGCACATCCTACGTCACTATCTGTTTTTGACGCATCTGTATAAAGGGCTGTGTGTCCGAGGTATTTGTGTTTCATTTCTGTAAATAAGTGTTTTTTGACGAAATGGTCGTCGTCAGTTTGTATTTTCCTAGAAAGAGACCTATCTGTTTTTATGAAAGAGTTATTCCATTGGTAGAATACAGCGTCGTCTATTGTCATTATATTGTCCAGTCTGAAGTCTAATTGTAAAAGTAGTTTGTGGGTTCTCTCCGTAATGCCAGTTGGAATTTAATAATAATTGGAATTTAATGATAATTGGAATTTAATGTTAACATTTGCTCACTCAAGGTACTACAATTCATAATAATGAAAATAATCATAATAAAAACAATGATGAAAACAAACTGACTACAGGAAAATAATGTGCAAAAATAATAAAAATAATGCAGTAAAAATTAAGATGGTAATTAAATCACATTACTTTTGTTACGTTCTTTAATTTGGAAAAATCGTTTCCGCAACAAACTTGCCGAATATTTTATTGCTGGATTCCTTGTTTATATTTTATGATCCATTTTCAACTATTTTTTTTAAATAGTCAAGTGGGCAATAGATTTACAAAAAGTGGAAACTTCACAATTTACTTATAGAAAAAAAAAATCTTTAACTGTTGTGTATATTTATATGCATAGATATTGTGTAACAGCCTGAATTCTGCTGTAGACTCGTCGTTTTTTTTCGGTACAAATATTCTACGCAATATTCTATTTCCAAAAACCTTATGACATTGCTCGTTCTTTAATGTAAGCGGCCACATTTCGTATATTAGGGTGTATATAGGGTGTCCCAAAATTAACGCAAGTTTTAAATGAAATACAAAACACAGTTCTTTCTTCTTTTGTTTCCTCTTTCTTTGTCAATCTAACAGCTGATAGGTTAACAAAAATGGAGCGTTGTACCAGTGAAAAATGTGTTTTCATTGTTGATAAACATTTTTAAAATAATGAGTTCGAAAATTTCGTAAAAAATATGGTCGGAATAGTGATTTAACTTTATCAACTGTGAAGAGAATGGTTGAGAAAGTCAAGCAGACTTAATTTTGGGACACTCTATATAAAGAACAATATGAAGATAAATGGTTTTTAAATTCTAATTTTCAAGTTTCGGGACTATATCAAAAAACTAAATAGTTTCGCGATCGAAAAATAGCAAATATTTCCCGACTTTACCCTAGCCTTAACTTCCTGTTCAATTTCCTTTTTTCTAGTTATAGTACATCCGAAAATAATATGATACTAAGACTATTGTAATTCAGTACAATTTCAGTATCAAAATGGCGATCGATTTAATTAATAGATAACGGTACTTTTCGTTTTTTTTTTTTTCGGGTATTTTCGGAAATCTAATAGTTGCGTGCTCTGAATGATCTTGAATTATATGATAAATTGCTATCTATTATGTTCTTATATTTTTTCTACACCTGCTTTTTAAAACTTGTATTTCTTTATTATTATTTTTATTTTTAATTAATTTGAATTGGTAATATTGTTCAGTTTTGTTTCAGGGAAGAGTTTCTTCTTCCAGAAATACTCCAAACGCATGAGCACTTACTTAGAAAGTCGTACATCTAATGAGGGTAACAATACAATAATTTTTTTAATTTATTTATTTCTTAGTGATATTTACAACTGTATTAAATAAATACATTTAGTAAATTTGAACATATGGATATAATGACTTGAAAACACTTGTTGAGTAACTACCCAATGGTAGCACTCTAATGATATGTCTACATTAGGAGATCACGGGGCCATCTTCTTTCCAGACGCCTCGTAGCGTTATCAGAAATTGAAGAGGAAGCAAGATTAGAAACTAGGGGTTGGGATGATTCTGAAGTTTATTATGGAAGGATAGGTATCTGGATTGGGCCATATCTGAAACATTAAGGTCATTATGGATGGTTTTATTTGTAACAAAGTAGGGAGCATTGAGGATTTTACGAAGGATTTTGGATTGTAAGGATTGGATACGAGAGGAATTTGATGGTTTGGTGGAGCCCCATAGCTCAACTCCGTAAGTCCAAATAGGCCTTATTATAGCCTTATATGAGTATTTTGTAATTAATTGGAAGTTTAGAGGGTTTGTCTAATAAGTGCTGAAGTTATCGGAAACGTCGAGCGGTTTCTTGACGTTTCAGTCTGGTATGAGGGTTCCAAGTTAGACGTTTGTCCAGATGGAGTCCTAGGTTGCGGATTTGTTCAACAGGGAAGTCATAGGTTTACGACGAAGGGTAAAGATAATTTGTTGGGATTCATTGGAATGTATTTTAATTCTCCACAATACATTTAGTTTCTATTTTGTCTATAATTGTATAACTTTTTTTTGTACGATAATTGATATTATTTTGAATTATGAACCATTGCAATCGACCAAAAATTTATTTTTCACGATACGTAGAACCCGAAAATAGTTTTCCATCCACCATCCGCTGATTTCTCCGATACTATTGGACCGATTTTTTTGAGATTTGGAATCAAAATCAGATGTCACTAAACGATGATTCTTCTACTTCGACATTATCATCTAACCTTCCCTTTTAAGATCGCGGTCGAAAATCATTTGTCGTATAGACTGTAGCGCCTCAACAGATGTACCAATATTAATGAAACTATTTTGTTTTCAAGGAATTGAAGTGGAAGGGCACACGTTTGAATCGGGCGCCATTATTCTTACTACATTACATTTTTTTAAAAATATAAACTAACATCATAACAAATAATATGTTACATGTGCAGAAATTGAAGAACAGGGCATCGAAGAACAATCTTCCACCGTCATCAGGCATAAGTCTCTTTCCCCCGAGGAAACAAAGAAAGATATAGGACAGTCAGAAGAAGAGTCGAGCGATCGGAAATTGATACCCGAAGATTTTTCAGCTGCGACACTTGAAGTAGGCAGTGAACCGATGTTTGAAGAGGTGAGATTTTCCCGAACTATTCAACTGATTTTTTTTTCTTCTATTTATGAGCAAACACTGTTTCATGTGGATAGTTTTTGATCTCAAGTTGAATACTAAAAATATAGCGCATAATCTGTTTATTTTATATAAAGGTCGTCTCACATCTTAATAGACAAACACTGGAGGATGATTTTAGACAAAATTTACAACAAAACATCTCTTATGATACATGGTTCGATTCCGAACAAAAAATCAGTTAAACACAATTTTATGTTTTTCTTAAGGTGGTCAGGTTTTTTATTTATTAAGAAGGAATTGCTCAAAAGCTGTATAAATATAACTTTTCCAACTAGAAATATCACTAAAATGACATTACTCAAAAATGTTGAAATCGGAGTTAAGTCATTCTGTCAACTGAAAAGCTCAGAGACTGAAGTTGTGTGGTTTATAAAAGTAGATGGAATAACTAGATTTTTATTTATCCTTTATTTATGCTTACCGTCGATGTAATAAATAGACTTTTTGTAATTTTAATAAACTCAATGCTTTGTTATCTGTAAGCTTTAGCTACGTTTAAAATGCACATCACAAATTTTATTATAGGTCAACATTATCAAAAAAATATCCACACATATATTATTACAGTAAGGCTCGAAATCGGTACCAAATATAAGCTCCTGTCATGCTCAAATACCATGAATGGGGTACCGTTGGATTCAGAATTTCACGGGGTTTAGCGAATCGTATTCTCCACTTTTGTTTTTCTTTCTAAAATAAATAAAGTCGATACAAACATTTTGCTAGGCTTCAATACTGGAACGGTGGTAGGTCTGTAGATCGATACGGGACAAATTGGAGCTTGAAGATTTTGATGCGTACAGCAAGATCCGGATAGTTACCACGGAACTATCGGCTCCTGCGTTTTTAAGCCCGAAAACGTACTATTTTCGAACTAACGCAAGGCATAGGGTTCGCAACCATACAATCTTCCGTTAATTGTAGCACTGTCTTTAAATACATGGAGTTTATATTGTTTATCGATAGTGTTTTTGATCGGCAAGCCATATCATCGTTAATTCTTCACCAAATCTCAAGATTGAGCCACCAATTTCGAAGGCTTCCTTCTCCTTCAGGCGGACAAAATAGTCCAATCTACCCGAAAATTCAGGCAAACAAGTTATGAAAGAAAACAAACTTTATTTGCGAATAACTAAAAAATTACACACTTTTCCCTCGGTTATGCCCATGATTATATAAAAGATTACTAAATTCCCTACAAAAGGAAAAAAAAAATCATCGAAATCGGACAATTTTTAGCAAAGATACAGCTTATTGAAATTTGTAAACATGTTGGTTCCTAACATTAATGAAGATTTAAAATAATTTTTGTTTTCTTTGTCTTTTATATTTATCGATAAAGTAACAATTGATTTTTTTTATCTTTTGATACGTTGGATTATTTTCTTTTCTTAATAATTAGGCATTTGAAAACCATATGCTGTGCGAATTTCTCGCACGGGCCTACTAGTTTCTATTAAAAGTAGAGCGGTAAGTGAAAGTTGTGCGTTGCGCGCACCAGACTTTTACATAACGATTTGCTGGTTTTTACAAAAGGCCACAGAGAAGAATTGAACCATCGTAGATTTAATTTTATGAGATAAGAACATGCGCATGGATATGATTGATAAGGAAAGCTCAAAACATCAGTTTCATTGAAATGGTCTTTGCAGGATTTTGCAACGTGGCTGTAGATATACAAATTATTTAATTTATAATAGGTTACTTTAGTAACCTGTTATTTTAAAGAGAGAATTTATCGTAACCTTAACTGTTGCAGGTGATCAATTCCTATTTAGAACCGGACGTCCCTGATATGTTTCCAATGGTGGACGCAAAGGTGGCCGAGTCATTCAGAACTTCTCTACTTGGCGGTATTTTCGGTGAGTTACTCAACTTACGGTGAGTTACTCAGCTTTCGGTGAGTTACTCAACTTTCGGTGAGTTACTCAACTTTCGGTGAGTTACGCCGCATCGAAACCTCCACCGAAGTATCTCGAGCTATGGCTAGAGATGAAAAAAAAATCTCTTGTTTTATAAATGTCACTTCAGCTGTGAAATGAGCTTTCTAAAGTGACTATTTCGCTGGTACTGCCCACAGCAGCGACCGCTATTTCACGCTGCCAACCGTTTCATGCTCGTCTATTTCGCTGAAACTGCTCACCGTCGCGGCCAAATCTTTTCAATTTAGCGTCCTACTTTGATATAATATATATATATATATATATATATATATATATATATATATATATATATATATATATATATATATACAAAGGCCATCCATTTATATATATATATATATGGATGTCCTTTGTGCATTACTAAACCATTCATCCGATCGCCATGAAACTTTGGGAAGTTGTTCCGTACACTCCTTGGAAGGTTTCTGGCATAGTACTTCCGTCTTACGATAATTTTATATATGTAAAAAAATAAAAATGTAAATGTTTTTCTGTTCAAAGCCGCAAAAAAATGTGTCGCTATAAACTGTAGCGCCAAAACGGCTTTACCGATTTTAACGAAACTTGGCTAAAGTCTTCCCTTGAAACCCTTTTATAACCCTTGTATAACATACTTTCTCGAAAACAAGCTGAAAAATGTTACGATGAATTCATTATTCTATTGGCCGATAACTAAAAAAGTACAGAATTTTTGACTGATAAAACCCACATTTATTTGAAAGATTCCTGAATTGCTGACAAAATAAAAAAAATTCATCGAAATAGGACGGTTCTTTGCAGAGTTATAGAATTTTAAACATTTACTGCTTTCTCTTCAGAAAAGTCCATTTCCTTTTGCTTCCGAAGGTAGGCAAGCATTTTTTTTTTTTTTATTGATTAATCGAAAATTTTATAATTACTACAGTAATTGAAATCATCTGATTTGAAGTTATATGATTCTCCTTATGTAGGTCAATACTATTTACGTTTTTTTTATTAATTTTTTAATTTAGTTTTATAAGTTCAACTCAGACTGGTTCTGATTATTATGAATGACGGCGAAATTCACTCAGATGATTATGAATGTTCAATTTGAATCTTGAGAAAAAAAAAATCATTAGAATTAGTTTAAATTTAAGCCATTTTACAGACAAATTTGTTTCCCAACTTTTTAAAAATTGGGACAGATGTCCTTTGATATTAATCTACTCATATGTGCTTTCTATTTTCTTTATTTTTCATTTTGCCAGGCTAAGCCACAACAGCGCGTGGCCGGGTAAAGCTAGTTTTAAATAAAAATGTTAGCCTTAAATTCAATGGTTTTTATTTGAATCGGAAGGCTCACCAAACAGCTCAATATTTTTTAAGGTCACCTTTTTTCTTGACTTTGTGCTCAAGTTACCTTGCAATTCAAGTGGAAGAAAGTAAATGGGTATTTACAAGTTTTTAGTACTCAATTAAATAGACAAAGTTTGCCGACCTCTAGATCGAAAACGTCCCAATTTCGAGAATTTTCGTAAATAAAATATTTGTAGGTTACGATGAGATGAAGCTATTGAAGTTTTATGCGGATGTTATTAATTTGATAAGAGGGATCTTTACCACGTACTATGTCATATATCCTCACTTCGCTTCAGCTATTTTCTATTCCTAATTTTGTTATCGTTATTTTATAATTTATTTTCGTTTATTCTACTTAATTTATTTTACTTTAAGTATCTTCTATCCTCATGTTATTAGACTATACCTTTATTGCTTTTATGTTAAAAGTTTCTCATCCCCATTGTTGTTTGTTTATTCTTTGGTTGTTGTTGAAGGCCTGTATTTTGGTCTGAAATGTGAGCAAAAATAAAAATAAATATAATTGAAGTGAAAACTTCTTTAGGCGCGTTTTGCACTTTTTTTTTTGTGGAGAATGGATTGGATTGAGCCGTCAGATCTCCGGATGTGTAACGCTCGGGTAAAGTCGGTTGGGATCGACTAATTGAAGTGTTTTTTGGTTTATTATTTTCAATAATGAAACATTGTGATCGACCAAAAAATTCAAAAACATAACCCCCTCTCAAAATTTGAGGTTTCACGTTTCAAGACGCGTAGAATTCGAAAAACGAATAAAAATTTTTTTGTCCGTCCGCCGTCCGCGCATTTTCTCCGAAACTACTGGACCGATTTTTTTTCAAATTTTGATATAAAATCAGAGGTCACCCGAGGATGATCCTCCTTCATCGACATTACTCTCCGCCTTTAACTTTCAAAATGGCGGCCGAAAAACCTGCGTTGCTATAGACTGTAGCTCCTAAACGAATGTACAGATTTCAATGAAACTTCGCTAAAGTCATTTTCTCTACGCCCTTTAAATTTATCTATATAACATACTTCAACGAAAAGAAGCTGGAAAAAAAGTTACGAGGGATGGTAAAATTAAATTCCGAATAACTCGAAAAGTTTTTACTTTTTTGTTGATATTGTATAGTTTTTTAAAAGTTTACGAAATTTCCTAAAAAAAAAAAAAAATCGTTAAAATCGGACAATTAGGAGCAAAGATATGGTCTCCGGTTTTTTTTATATGTTCTACTCCAAATGTTATATCCTTTGTTTGGTTTTTAAATTTTGAATGTGTTACTGAACTAATGCTATTTTTTTTAGCATATTACTAATGATTAAAGAAAAACAGTTTAGTCCAATAATTGGAATCACCTTTTGTTTTTTTTTTCTTTGTAACTCGGAAGGTAATGTTACTTTAGATGTATAATTGTTTGGAGATAATAAACCATTGTGAAATAATTTGCAGTGTATTTTCATATTGATTAAAATATCTCGAAAACTATAAATCGGACTTGCATACTGTAAGAGAGGAGTTATTCAGCATTTCATCATTCTCTTTGTAATGGGCTATTATACAAAATTGTATCTTAACGCGACGCCGTGTTAATGAGGGAAAAGAGAAAAATAGTATCGAAAATATGATAGAGAGTTTTATTGAAAGATATGGATTAAATTGTCTCAGAAACTAAAAATCGAAGATGCATACTGTAAACAAGAGAAATGTTCAGCATTTTATCCTTTTTATAAGGAGGTACTACTTATAATTTATATCTCATATTATTAATTTCACTTCTGTCATGTGGTCTAAAGCATACACGTTGTTTTTTTTACTGAACACTCCGACCAATCTTCTCTTCAATTAAATAATTTCTATTTATTGCAGGTGCATTTACTCACGATACCAAGTGCCTGCTAGACACAGAACTGGAAGACATTTCGGAAGATATTCACCTCATCAAGGCTCCTTCGATAAACACCCCGAAGACATCCTCTGAGGAGACCGTGGAAGAATTTAAACCGAAGAACTACTGGGTCCCATTGGACATCACTCTCAAAGAACTGACATCCGTGTCCAGGATAAGTTCCCGCTCCCATCTGGAGCAGTCGCTCTTTCCGACTAACAAGATGTCAGGTCCTCCGCTCCCTGACTTGTCGGTCTTGAAGAATGTCATCAGAGTAAGCAAGAAAATAAGCTTGAATAAGGACATGCCTATGAAAAAACCTGTGCGTATATATATATATTTTTTCTCGAAATATATAATTAGATCTAAATGGAAAAGAACTTTATTTGTTTATATTTGTATATTTTGGTTTATTATTTTCAATAATCAACCATTGTGATCGACCAAAAACTTAACCCCATCTCAAAATTTGAGGTTTCACGTTTCAGGATGCTTAAAAAAACGAATACAAATTTTGTTATCCGTCAGCCGTCCGCGCATTTTTTCCGAAACTACTGCACCGATTTTTTTCAAATTTGGAAATAAAATCCCGAAAATGATCCTCCTTCATTGACATTACTATCCGCCTTTCACTTTCAAAATGGCGGCCGAAAAACCTGCATTGCTATAGACTGTAGCTCCTAAACGAATGCACCGATTTCAATGAAACTTCGCTAAAGTCATTTTCTCTACGCCCTTTAAATTTATCTATATTAGACGATACCGTTTTAATCGCCAAAATGATCCTGTGTACGCACAACTCTAAAGAAGCCCAGGAAGTCATTGGAAGAGTGGAAAGAGGTCATTACCCCTTCCCTCAGTGATGGTTTGGTGTGGAGTTTGCTTTGATGGCACCACAAATCTCCATTTTTGTGAAAAACTATCCGCTAAAAACTATCAGGACGATATTTTGGAACCTGCTGTCAAGCCTCTAAATGGTACTCTGTACAATGCCTGTGTCAAGAGTGGACATTTTGAGTCATTTCTTTTTATATTTTCTTGTAACAATATTTATGACAGGACTAGGCAACAACATGGAGCAATGTAGTATAATGTCTAATTTGAATACACAAGGGTTTCAAACCAAAAAGTATACAACAATATGCTTTAAACTAATATCTAAAATTAAATAAAGTAATATAAAAAAATGGCTATGTTTTAAAATATTTTTCACATGCATGTTTTAGTATGTAGTAGAATGTACCGACTCAACATGCGCATTGGTCGAAAACAAAGAATTACCGATGTCTGAGTTTGATCTCGCAAAGAACAGGATTAGTACGTTAGTGGGAAAGAAGCAGTTGATCGTAAGTTATAATTTATAAGATGCAGGATAAGAAAATTATGATAGATAAGATTCAAGCTGAGCTGTCATCTGAAAAAACTACCCCTATTTATAAATAATACAGTTGTTCATTTAATTGCACTACTCGTTGCTCAAATTGTATTACTGTATGTTGACGCCAACATGTGATAATTTGAATTTATTTTCACCATAGCATAATAAGAGGGGTTATTTTAATTTTATTAATATCACATAGATTATTTATTTTGGTTCCATATCATTATATCGTAAACCTGTTTATTTGTATAATTACTTTATTAAATATTATATGTACAAGCCCTATATATTTTGTACTATCCGAGGCGTCCCAGCGACGGTGTTTTCGGCCACTTCAGTGTTCTATATGGCTGCTGGAAGCAATTATGTAACAATGCTTCCATGAGGTTCTCTCGCCCTGTTACTATTCCCTTTGGAAAACTCAAAGTTTCATCTCACCAGGTTGTAAAGGTGAATTCCCACATCTGGGATATCATTTTCCTCCAACAGTACATACTTCACGTATGTCAGGCGACTACAGACGCTAAATATGACTGGCCGAAGATGTGAATGGTTATATTTTAATTACGTACAGTTTAAGTATAATTGGTACTGGCCTAAAAAAAAAAAAAAAAGAAAAGAATCCTAATTGTCAGGAGTATATGTAATTATTCAAAACGTATTAATCCACTGCTGCCGAAACCCCGTAAGGCAACAGTGTCGAGCAGGAGGATAAACAAAAAAAGCTCGTATCGGTCTCGAACTTTAGGTTTTAATAAGATTTTATTTTTATTAAAATCTCTATTCATCTCTCTTTCTCTTTAAACATGATGTAATAGATCATTATCAGATTTGGGAGGAAGGGAGCCCAGTAAAATCCTGCCCCGGGCGCCAAAAATCCACGCGAAGACTCTGATTTCCATATCCAGTATATCGGGTTTTTTAAACCTCTTTTGGGTCGAGGTCCCCAGTGGGTTCTTCTGGATTGAGAAGCTGCTGGAGATCTTTTCAGATGCTAATACCTTCTATTTTGATGTCGTCAAAATGAAAATTATTTATCGCATTTGCGTATTCCTGGCTTTATATTCTAGTTTATTATTTTGTATTTAATCAATGCCTTCTAGTTATTTAAGGACAATCTGATTTGTACCTTACTTGACAGAAGAAGTAAAACCATAAAAAGTAAAAGCATCTGAAGGGTATTTTACGTCTATTTTTGATTTGGGAGTTTCTAGTTTGTTGAAAACACGGTTGCCACTATCCGGGAACAGTCAGTGTATTTACCGATATCCTACAGTGTACAGTAGCTGTACCTTAAAGGAATACGTTTAAAATTTAATCAAATAAGTTTTCTGAAATTTACTAAACTCAAAAATACACCGACAGGCTGCCATCAAGTTCTTGTGTGACAAAGGAGACCCATTGGCCATACTTCCTGAAATGGAACTGGTACCATGGCTCATACGGTGGTATGACAAGAGAAGAGGAATCAAAAGAAACCTCACCAAAGCAGACAAAGGTAATATTTATTAATTATAACGCACATTTAGATTAATCTTTAAATCATACAAATGACTAAGGCGTTATAGGTTATCTGGTGTAGTAGAAGAAAAAATGTTTACTCCCCATAATCATACCTTCTCTTAACCCAAACCTAAAACACCTTGACCCCACACACACCCCTCTCTATGTGTGTATATATATATTTCATTTCTTCTTCTCTTAATATTTAGTTGTATTCACTTAAACATCTTGAGGAACATATGTAAATAATTTATTTACATTTTTTTTTTATATTCCATCACTACAATGATTTGCCTATAAAATTTATTTAGCGTTCCTTTCTAATTTCATCTAATGATTATTATGTTATTGTTTTAGCTCCAATATTATAGTATTGCAACCCTATTACCCATCTGTTTTCGTTAATAAATCTTAAGAGCTACGTGTATACTTACATTATTACTTGTATTTTAGTTATTCTCTATTGTAATAGGTCTTTTGGGTGGATTTATTGTCAATTGGGTTGAACAATATTGTTATTCTTAAGGAAACTAGTCGCAGAATAAAGATGATTTTCTATTTCTAAATGAAAAAGTTGTGTAACACATCAAGATATCTTGTATAAGATTAGAACATCCTTATTTATTGTTTACTCGAGATTTGAGTGCTGATTCTCTCAGCTCGATATTTATTTATCTTTGGGGAAACCTCTAAAGCTGTTTCTTATATTCATCACTTATACAATAATTAGTATGTGTTGGTAAATATAAGCTACTAGCAGGGGTGCCCATCCCCCAAATGCCGATGGCTCATTAACATTCCCCCACCTTTCCTAAGATATTTTATTCCTCTCTTCTTCTTAAAAACGGTGCAAACGAAAGTAGAATTTGAATATCCGAAGATTATATACCATTACAGATCCCGTGGTCTATTCCATGCTTCCACTTGTCTTTTGATTTGAAACTTTTCATTTTGAAAATTCATAACCCAGTCATATTGTGCCCCCTCTCAAAAATTGAAAACCCCGTCAAAAAATGTTCCCCTAACTAATTTTGGCTACAAGCTAATAGATTATAAATATAATACACTGGATCATACTATTGAACATCTTTTACCTTTTAACTTGAAATAGTATTTTAAGCTTCAAATTTTGCACCCAACAAATATCTTTCTCCCTGTCATCTCTAACTAAAAATATTTTGTTTAGGATGTATTTTTATTAGCTTACATAAATGTATATTTATACAGCAAAGCTCAGATTCTTTGACAGTATCACACATCGCAATATTGGAGTAAGATCACATCCCCTAGTCTTCACCACAGCTCCGATCGCATTATCATTCTTAACTTTTTAGCTAAATATGAACTTAGTTGGTTTATTATTTTCAATAATCAACCATTGTGATCGACCGAAAAATTCAAAAATTTAACCCCCTCTCAAAATTTGAAGTTTCACGTTTCAGGATGCGTAGAATTCGAAAAAAGAATTAAAAAATTTTGTCCGCCCGCCGTCCGCGGATTTTCTCCGAAACTACTGGACCGATTTTTTTCTAATTTGGATATAAAATTAGAAGTCACCAGAGGATGATCCTCCTTCATCGACATTATTATCTCGGCCGAAAAACCCGCGTTCCTACAGACTGTAGCGCCTAAACGAATGTAGCGATTTCAATGAAACTTCGCTAAAGTCATTTTCTCTACGCCCTTTAAATTTATCTATATAACATACTTCAACGAAAAGAAGCTGGAAAAAAAAGTTACGAGGGATGGTAAAATTAAATTCTGAATAACTCAAAAAGTTTACACTGCTTTTTTCAAAGTTTACGAAATTTCCTAAAAACAAAAAAAAAAAAAAAAAAAAATCGTTAAAATCGGACAATTAGGAGCAAAGATATGGTCTCCTGTTTTTTTTTATATGTTCCACTCCAAATGTTATATCCTTTGTTTGGTTTTTAAATTTTGTATGTGTTACTGAAGTAATGCTATTTTTTTTTTAGCATATTACTAATGAATAAAAAAAAAAAAAAATGTTTAGTCCAATAATTCGAACCACTAGCGGATTCAGAAATTAATTTTTAGGGGGGCTTCAGCCCGAAAGATTTTTTTTTTCATATACATATAACGATAATTAATTAGAAAAAAAATAAATTAACTACCTATATGAAATGGTGTTTAAGTGGTTCTTGAAGTCCTATTAAATGTTATTACACGAACATCTTTATATAATATCTCTAACATCTTTATATCTCATCTTTATATAATACACTATATAATATATAAATTATGTATACACATACACACACACACATATATGTTTGTGTGTCTATAAATAGAGATAAAAATGAATAATTAATTGTAGGTGAAAATTATAGATATTTTCCCAATTGTAACAATTCTAAATTATAATATAATAAATACATTTGTTTCAATTTATAAAAAAATACAAAATTTAAATAAATAAATATTTTAAAAGATAGTTTTTAATATTTTTTTCTGTAAAACATGACTATATTTTACCATTTTTGGGGGGAGGGGGCTTCAGCCCGAAAGCCTCCCCTTAGATCCGCCTGTGATTGGAACCACCTTTTATTTATTTTTCTTTGTAACTAGGAAGGTAATGTTACTTTAAATGTATAATTGTTTGGAAATAATAAACCATTGTTGAATAATTTGCAGTGTTTTTTTTTACTATAAAAAACACTACAAAATTTGTCTTATAAACGTTTTTTATCACTTAATTCTATTCCAGAACAATAAAGCGCCTACATGTAGGCCTTTTTTTCTTTTCCTGCGAGTATCCAATTAACATTAGGTTTCTCATGCGCTAGAACGTATTTGAGTAATTCTAAAAATATGATCTAGTTGATGAATTATATTTTCACAGAGGAGCTTATAGAGAGAAGCCAGAACCTCTGGTCGGCGCCATACACCTACCCTACGGCCGCGCCTATGGTCGTCATTCCGGAGGGAAATTATAGGTGGAACCAAAAGAGATGGCTGATGGACCTGGTAATAACTATATCAAAATTAAGAAAAATATCACGTTCACGTAAATGTAGTCTCAGAGCTAAGTCGAGAAGTTAATGTTTTGGGGAAGCTCATTGGTTGGACACTCAGCTTACAATGTTCTAGGTTTCAGGTTCGATCCTGGGGTAGGTAGACCCTCATAGGGCACATCCATCCTCTACAGAGTGGGTTCCTTTACTCTGTTTGCTATTTACATTAATGACCTTCCTCTCCTCGTCCATCACTCCCAATACCACATCTATGCTGACGATTTCCAAATATACCTGTCCTTCCCCCCTTCTGACCTATCAGCCGCCATAAAAAAGCTTCAAGAAGATTTGAAGAGAATATAGATAGAAAAAAAAACTTTATTCTGGGACTAAGTCCCTTCAGAATAACAATAATGTACAAAATAATAGAATGTTACTGGCCTGTACGTTTGAAACAATAAATAAAATTGATAAAATAAAATAAAAAGTAAAGAAAACCTTAGGTGCACAAGCTATATACAATACAGATAAAACTATGTACAGAGCATTTAAAATTATGAACAAAACAATTAAAACTATGAACGAATCACTTGAACTATGAACAAAATTATATATAAGGGTTGAACAACATAAACCTACACTTTGAGAAATGAAGTACGAAAAAGAGATACAGTGAGTTCATTTCATAAAATAAAATAAAAAAAACTTTACTTGAATATATATATATATATATATATATATACAATAAACAGTTAATTATAATTGAATAAAAAAAAAAAAAATGTATGTATTGAAATTCCTACGTCGATAGTAGGAAATGCATGTACTATCTCTTACCAAGTATTATGATTATATGATTGCTACACAATACATATATAATATTAATAGTTAGCTGGTATCTGACTGTTTTTGTAACAGGAATTGGAATAGGAGGTTTTTGAATGTGTATAGGGAAGGGGCATGTCGAATTTTGATCGGGAGGGAATTCCAAAAGTTGACAGAGCGGGCTATAAAGGAATTTTGGAATGAGGTAATCTATGAGAAGGGATGTATAGGTCAGAGGGTCGGGATCTTGTAGTGAGGGAATGGATTGAGGACTTAAATTGGAGATGGTTGTGGGCATAAGAAGGACGATGATCGGTAATTATTTGATAAAGGAAAGTGCCTAGGAAATATTGTCTTCTTAAGGAGGGGAAGAGCCACCCTAACTCAGTGTAGTGGTGGGAGACACTGGAGCGTCTCGGGGTCCCAATTACAAATTTTACGAAGCTATTCATAAGTCTTTTGAGCCTAAGTTGGCCCAGGCACTAATTCGATCTAAATCTTCTTGAATTTTGGCAAATGCCACCAATATATGACTGGGCAGGAGCTAACAAGCTGAAGTTGAATGCGGAAAAGACAAGGCAATCCTAATAGGCTCCAATCACCTCCTCAAAACTGTTCCTAACTTTCCAACAATCTTTTTACATGATAATCCCATTAAATTTTATCCCACCATCAAAAACCTTAGAATAATCTTTGATCAAATCCTTTCCTGGAAAAACCAAGTATCTAATATCTTCCGACGTACCTTTTTCCTTTTGAAATCCATAGACTTCTGGTCACCTCCTTAATATTTCCCCCGTTCGACTATTGCTGCACGGTATATGGGGGCGTCTCTGGGGATCTCGAGACGAAACTAAAACGTTTGATAAATTACTTTGTACGATTCATCTTCGGGATCCCAAGAGACGCCCCTGTTTCTATGAAGAGTTGAAGTGGCTTTATCCTTCCTACCGCCGTAAGTATTTCCTGGCATCTTTCCTCTTCCAAGTAATTCACTCCCGCAATACCCGTTCCCGGTCTTCAGATTTATATATAATGGCCCACCGAACCACTGCTTTCGATAAATCATTTATTATTCGATCCTCAACCCTATGCAACTCCATCCCTCCCCACATCCGTCAATCCAAAACCTTTCCTACCTTTAAATCTCGACTGTTTAATCATTTCTTATCCATCCAGTCCTCATAAAATTGTAAATAGCTACTACTGTAAATATATATATATATAAATTATTAGATAGTTTTTCATTATTTTTACCTCATGTTTATTTTCATTTTTTTATTTTTAACTGATTTAAATTAGAAAGTAACTTATAATTTCTCTTATCATTTTTTAAAAATTTTTTGACTATTTAATCAAACTATATTCCTGTTTATGTATCTCTGAGACTCCTTAGCCCACATCTTTGCCTCTCTCTGTATTATTCTAAAGAGACTCCTCCCAGAATAAATAAAGCATTATTATTATTATTACCTTTAATTAAATAATTGATTAAGGGGGAAACCGGCGATTGAGCATAATATCCGTGGCCAGTCATCAATAGCAGCACACAGCACTTCTTGAAAGCGCTCAACTGCTCGGACCAGAGATTGCTTGAGGCTTTCCAAGTTAGGGTATGCTCTGTGGCATGCCATCCTCTCCAGTTCGGACCCAAGCCGATAATCAAGTGGGTTGAGACCAGGGCTTCTTGGGGGACAATCCGAGGCAGAGATGAACTCTGGAATGTTCTTTTGCAGCCACTGCTGAGTTAACTTGGCCTTGTGAGCTGGAGCGGAATCCTGCTGGAAAACCCAATGTCTTCCAGCAGAGTACCATTTAGAGGCTTGACAACAGGTTAAAAAATATCGTCCTTATAGTTTTTAGCGGGTGTTTTGACTCCTTTTCATAAAAATGGAGCTTTGTGGTGTCTTCAAAGCAAACTCCCCACCAAACCATCACTGAGGAAGGGTGATGACTTCTTTCCACTCTTCCAATGGCTTCTTTAGAGCTGTGTGCGTAGACATGATCATTTTGGCCATTAAATTTTTCTTCAATTGTAAAAATTTTCTCATCACTAAACAAAATTTTTTATGAACACCATTGGTGTAACGGCCAAGGAGCACTTTGACTCTACCTAATTTTTTTTTTTTTGGGGGGGGGAGGAGTGGTTAGCCTTTGTCCTGTCATTCTTCAAAATCCACTAATCCTAAGGTCACTTTTTATTATAACAGGGTCTCATTATATCTATATTATAGTGCGGTACACGAACATACGGCTGATATCCAAAGGTTTCAGAGAGTTGAAAATCTCTGACCTACATTTTCCAATTTTGAGAAAGGTTATCACAGCTATTCGATTTTCTTTATCACCCCACTCTATGTTAACTGAGTGAAAGAAAAATACATAATAATTGGAATTATTATCCCTACATGTAAAGAAAATAACCTGATAGAGGTAAGGATTATCTAGAATAATACCCCAGGATGTAAACAAAGTTTATTTTGTAACAGTATTTATGGTAGAACTAAATACTTAGTCGGTGGTACTGACACCTTTTTATCAAGTTATTAACATCTGCCTAAAACTTTGTGAATAACTTCATCTCATCGTGGCCTACAAACATTTTATATATGAAAACTCTCTAATCTGAAATGAAAACTTTCAATCTGGTTATTGGCAAACTTTAATTAGGTACTAAAAACTCATGAATACAGGTATGCTTTCAACTTGGATCGTAAGATATGACCACAAAATTAAAAAAAAAAAAATGTGGCCTACAAAAATATTGGGCCTATGGCCTATTCAACTTAGTTATTTTGTGGATGTTGATCACACTAAACAGCCCAATTTTATTTTGATTTCATGATCACATCATCTTACGATTGAAATGGAAAGCAATTCGATTGAAATGGAAAGCAATTCGGTATTCATGAGTATTTAGTGCCTAATTAAATAGATGAAGCTTGACGGCTCCCAAATTGAAAACGTCCCAATTTCGAGAGTTTTCTTAAATAAAATAGTGAACTACGGACTGATAAGTTTGGTTCCAAGTCCAATTTTCTTTTCTCCTTTAGTGAAACTTTACAAATATCAAGGAAACAGCTCTATACTTCTTACAAATATAATTGTCATAAACTATTGGGTTGACGAATAAGTCCTTTCGGTTTTTCTGTTTAATTTTATGACACTATGATGAATTAATTCCTAAGGTGGATTATTTATCCTGTTCGTAACATGTCAACAACTATATCTGTTAACTCTTGTTGAAACTAGCTTAGTATTGTGTTTGCTATTGCACTGTGAATGTGGAAGAAAATATCATTCATTATTGGCATATCTTGTTGTATTATTTTAAAAAAGGTAAGCGTGCTGCAGAAGCTCGTAGAAAAATTTGCTGTGTTTATGGGGACGATGCCTGAACCGAACGCTCCTGTCAAAATTGGTTTGCTAAATTTCATTCAGGTAATCTTGACATCAATGATGCTCAACGATCTGGTCGCCCACATGAAATTGAAACGAGCAATGTTAAGGCCATTATTGATCAAAATTCCACCCAATCAGTGCGGGGTAGTGCTATGGCTGTGTCGCACACAAACATAGAAAACCATTTGCACAAGCTCAGCTATGTTTCCAGGCTTAATGTTTGGGCCCCTCACTCTCTAACCGAAGTCAACTTGGTAACACACATTTCTGTTTGTGATTCACCACGGAAACGGCAAGAAAACGACCCATTTTTGAAAAGGTTGGTAACAGGAATTGGAAAATGGATATTTTTTGATAATGTAGTCCGTAGAAAATCTTGGGGACCTAGTAATGAAGCTCTTAGAAGAATGTCAAAATCCGTATTGCATCCAAAGAAGATAGTGCTTTCCATATGGTGGGATTTCAAGGATGTTATTTTCTACGAGCTATTGTCATCAGGACAAACAATTGATTCAACTCTATACTCCTCACAATTAACAACATTGGATCAATCAATTAAAAACAAATGCCCAGAACTGGCAAATGGGAAGGGTGTTTTGCTCCTCCAAGACAACGCTAGGCCCACACTCCCTATTCACCAGACCTAGCTCCAAGTGACTACCGCTTATTCCGTTCTTTGCAGCACTCTATGAATGGAGAGAAATTCCATAAGGAAGAGGACATCCAAAACCCTGTTCCAAGTGTTTTTTAACATTAAATTTCATACACTCTATGAACGTGGCATTAAGCAGTTACTGGAAAGATGGGAGAGTCATATTAAATAATGGTCAATATATTGTAGATTAAAATAAATTTTATGTCCATAATACATTGAGTTTAATTTCCCCCTGAAAAATCCTGAGGACTTATTTGTCAACCCAATACATTTCGTCCCATGTACTGGTGCATCATGATATAAGAAAAAATATCGAGTTTGCTTCCATGATAGAAGGTACTTGACTACTGCACAAAGTTCTAATATAAGATGTAAATTTCCCTGACAATCTTTTAAGTATCGCTAAAGTAAAATATGCTAGATATTTCTCAGGATGGTTAGGATTATTTCCATCTTTGGATTTTTATTTTTTTAATTAATTAGTTATTTTAATATCAAAATATAAGAGCAGTCGTAAAAATTCTAAAATCAATGACATAAATTTTCATACTTTATAGGTTTTGAGCTTCACATGTTCACATACACAGAGAGAACATTTTGTAAGATTCGGTTATTTGGATTAGGGGGAGACTTAAAAGAGTATTTTTGTTATATGTATGATATTTTCATAAAAATAAAATTGAAATAAATTAAAATGACAAATTCAATATCCATATATTAAAAGTTAAACAATATTTCACTTCAGTTTGTTAAAAATTGTTGCATCAGTAAAATAAATAAATATTTCTTAAACTTTTTCTCATTGAATAATTTGATTTTTTTTTTTTAAATGCAGATAAACACAAGATTATACAACCATAACAGAGCAATCAAACACATATTGATAGACAACGCTAGAGACCTGTTTCCAACGATGTTTTGCGAATATTACGATACACCTCTTAACAAACGCTTCAAGGATACTTTCTACGCATACTTCCCGGCAAGAGAGAGGGATTGCCTGGTGTCGAGGCCATGGGATCCACACGCTGATAAGGGGACAGAAACTAAATCATCAGAATGATTCAGGATTGTAAATAAAATCGTTTTAAATAAGGTTTTATCGTTTATTTTTATTTACAAATAGCGAACATTTGTAAGTGTTTATGTATATTACGCACATATAATGAAGGTTACTTACTATATGAAAAAAAGCATCCAAAATTTGATAGTATGAAAAGAGACATTTAGGAACATTAAAAATTAATATTAAAGAGATGGCAACTATTTAAGAAACCAAAAAAAAAAATTAACATAAATAAAAATGACATTGGATATCATTAAGATAAAAACAAATAATAAAGATAACAACTTCTTTAATAAAGAAGCTTTGTTTCTAAATTCAACAGCACACTCCCTTTTTTTAAAAGGAAGAAACAATTAGGAAAAAACATTTATATAAACTTTTTAAAACAAAGTTTTGAACTTCTCTAACAATATTGGTATAAAAATAATATATCTATGTACACAATAATTAGAAAATAACTCTTATATATAAATATAAAATGGGAAACAAAACAATATCACCTTTCGCACCACTTATAAACCACTCTCGCGCTTGTAGCAACATTTACTAGTCTTCGTCTGAATGGGGCAAAGTATTGCCTGATATGGCACCTGGTACTATTTTATCAGCTTTAGACTGGCGTGGTCGAGGAGATGGCGATAGGCTGCCAGAGACAAGCTTTTCATCGTTATTCAAACTTTTCGTTCTTGGTATAGATGGCCTTCTGGCATTTGAATCGCTTACTGTTGACGAAACTACATCAAGTTGCGATTCTGACTTTACTTTGCCTACTGGAGCAGACGCCTTTGCAGTGGATAATCTATCCGGTGTTCTTGACAATCCAGTCGCTATCCTAGATTTTGCGGAGGCTTTGATTTCTGCAACACTTTTAATTGGTTTACTAACGGGAACTTTTTTAGCCGGGCTTCCGTTAGCCACAATTACCTCTTTTGCTGGACTTTTATTTCTTATATTTTGCTCAGGTTCTTTAACAGGTTTGATTGAAACATCCAATTCATTATTAACTGTTTTTTCAGTTGAGCTCTCAACGCCAGATAGGATTGTTTCATGTTCAGGAATGACATTGCTTTCATCAATATCTTTCGAGAACGAGATGTCGACGATATTATTATCCTGGCTGATTTCTGAATTTGTATCACAATTTTTATCTTCGTCCATAGTATTTGAACTAGATTCTTCCATAGTCTCAGGTGTGGCGGCAAATTCTAGCGCAGTCTCCAGAACAGGAACAGCAGATGGGGTATCTGATTTTGTTTCAGTCTCTGAAACAAGCTCAGATGCAGATTCTTCCTTGATCTCCGAAATAGACTCAGCAGATTCTGTCACGGTCTCTGATATTGTTCCACTAGGTAATGTAGGAGACTCAGTCACAATCTCTGCAGATTCCTTTGTTGTCTCTACAGTAGGTGCAGTAGACGAAATGGTAGATTCTTCCTTGGTCTCTAAAATAGATTCAGAAGGTGACATGATAGATTCTTCTACAGCCTCTGAAATATACTCAGCAGGTGAGATAGCAGATTCTTTTGGGTTCTCTAAAATAGGTTCATCAGTAGGTGAAATGGTAGATTCTGTTGAGGTCTCAAACATATTTTCAGCAGGTGAGGGGACAGATTCTTTAGGGTTCTCTAAAATATCTTCAGCAAGCGAGGAAGCAGAGTTCATATTCTCAACAATTTTAGATGTATCATTATCAATGTTTTCTACAGCAGTGTTTCGAGCGACTTCTTTATCGCCAGGAGTTGATTCTAGTTTTTCTATAATCTCTGATGTCTCTCTCTTTTCTTCATTATCGGTAATATCTTCTGTCAGATCCAACATTATATTTCTATCGTCAACCATAAGCTCGATTATTTTTAAATTTCCAGTCTTTGATAAGATTTTGAAATCAAATAAAGTCGAACCGCCTCCACTTATTTCTAAAAACTTCTCTTCAACCTTTGGATGAATAGCAACATCTTTGACAGATAGGCAACACTTAATGGCTACTGGAGCGAGCTGTTCGAGATTCAAGATGTCTGGAAGTTCGTAGACTTCGCTAACTTCATTTTCATTCCCATAATCTATAAATTGGACAGTCACAACGGGCTCCTTCTGTGTAACTATACCCCTGCACCAACTGTCATCCATATTATATTTAGCGGAAACTAATTCGCCAACTTTGAAGTTTTCTTTAATTCTGATCTGTTCGTCAAAGACCGAATATATAGCCGTAATATGGTCCAGGACAGTCATAACACTGATTTCTTGAACGTAGAAGTCGCTGATTGAGTTTATATGTGAAATATAACCTTGTTTTACAACATTCAATTCCGGTTCCAAAAGTTCCATCGTAATCCTTAAACTTTCCTTCATCTCATCTTGTAATAACGAGTGCGAAGAGGCTTCTAACAACTCCAACTCTTCTATATCTTTCAGTGACTGTTCTTTCGATTTCAGCAATTGTGACGGGCTAGGTAAATCTGATTTTATGTGAGATAAAAGAAAGTCTAATATATCCTTTCCATCATCAGTCAACAAAGAAACTATATGCGGCGAACCGCAAGACTTCAATTTAATATGAAAAGGAGTTTGTGCGAAATTGGTGATTTTCACAAATGTGGCAAGGAGCTCTGGCGTTTCTTCAATATTGAGACTACAATGGATTGCCAATGGTGGTATTGATGCTACGTCATCAGGAAGAATGCGTAGATCTGAAGTAGTAACAATATTACCATAGTCAATAAAATATACTTTAACTTGAGGCTGGGTCGATAAAACTTTCGCCCTGTACCAGAGACCATCCTCGTCAAACTGGACCCCAAAATATTCACCTATTTCGACGGAACCAGTGTGCTTCACCAACTCTACTGTAAGAAGCCTGTTCTGAATCTCATCAACTGTGTCTGTCTTTGATTCTTCATGTATGTGAAAATCATTAAGGGAATTCGGCAAGACTACGAATACTCTCTCATTCTCATTTATGTTAGGATTTTGAACGTCAACAAGCTTTTCGACCACTTTATCAATCGTTGTATCAAGTGGTGCTGCAGTTACAGAAGGAGAGGCAGCAGCAGTAGACTGGGCAGAATAGCCCTTCAGGTATTTTCTAATGTTCTCGGGAACGTAATCATTGTATTCCGCAAAACCTGCTTCAATTAAAGCTTCCGAGAGGAGCTTACCTTCAGCTTCAATATCGACCACTATTTTATAATCTACATTAATTATTTTGGCCAGAATTGATTGTTTTTCAATAAATGCTTGATGGATTTGTATAGCTTTTTCAGACCATTCTCTAGAAACTGGTTTAACACACAAATACATCGGAATGGCATATCCGGATGAAGGTTTCATCATATCTGAGGGTAACTCTTTTATCTCTCCACCAATTTGATCTGTGTTACCATAATCTATGAACCTTAGGGTATTGTCGCCTACCTTGGTGGCCCTGTACCAAACACTGTCTTCTGAATATTGAGCAGTGAATACTTTTAGCTCATCCGGACTACCTTCGTTTAGGTTTGGAATCGTGTTATGGAGCTTGTCTTGAAGTTCATCAATATTGCTAACGTGCTTGAGCAACTGAGCCCAAAACATAGTGATGGAATCGTCATGGGAGACTACAATCGGGACAGAATCCCCAGCAACGAGATCAGATCCTATGATAATATTGTGATCATCAAATGGAGATTCGTTTTTCTCAGTAGCAATGTTTCTTTTAAATAACTCCTGATTAACTTTGTCTCCATTAGCAAATGTTAAATCTACTATCCAATGGCCATTCATATCTCTTGTAAACTTGGCAAACAGCTCTTCACCCTCGACAACATCTAGTAGAGGTGGTTTGGGGTTCCTCCAATAAACTGACAACGTAACATTCAAGCACATTTCAGAAAATATAAACTTCTCGTCTAATTTCCTAAGGTTTTCGCAAGGAAGCTCTTCAGTGCTGCCATAATCCAGAAACCTTACGGTACAATCATTTGCATCGTTGATCACTTTGGCTCTGTACCAATTGGAATCTAAATTAGATTGAGCAGCACAGATATCTCCAATCCTCCATTGGGTTCCAGGATCAGATGCTGTGGCCTCATAAAAGGTGTACATGTCATCCAGGAGTTGCGCTAGCCTGTCAGCGTCACTAAGCCGTTGTATGTAGACGATAGCCCCCTCACAATAAGTGACTGTGACATGGTCCGATCTCCGGACAACAGGGAACGGGCAAATGGGGCTCAATTTTCGTGAATTTGTTTCTTCCTTCGGACCCATCAAACTTCCATTCAGATTAAAAAATACAACTTTCAGTCTGAAAAAAAAAATACTATGAATAAAAACAAATACTCTTAATTAATTATAACATTACTATCTGAATTATAATTGACCATTAAACTGATAGGAGAAGTGGATTGGGGATACGGTCAGAACTTTAAACATAAATTTTCCCGACACAAAAATCATTAAAAGCTGCAAATAGTGTATTTACTTATATACTGTTTTCAGATAAACATACAAAATATAATAATGAAAAAAAAAAAAAGATTCCTGCTTAACATCCCTGATCAAGGCCTAAAACTAAGCCTTAGGTTGAAACAAAGGCACACAAGGAAAAAATTAAAAAAATTATTTTTGGTTTCTTTTTCATGTTAGACAGACCACAACCCCAACCAACTTTCCCTACAATTTGTTGTATCTATTTATCTATCACGGCACTACAACTCTGTGACTAAATTCATAAGGTCAACAATATTTTTACCATTGTTTAAGAAATTTCAAACTAAAAAAAACAAATCCTAAATTATTTCTTAAGTTTCAAATTTTTAATTTTTATCTGGTACAAAGAATATCAGAAATGGTCCCTCAAGTGAAAATTACTTATTTAGCAAAAATGAGAGAATCTACACTCCTAATAAAACTATCAAATAAATAACTATAAAACAAGAAGATTAAATAAATAAATAAGATGATTCGTCAGTACAACTCAAATGTGGATTACTATGATTTCTTACTCTCCTGAAAAGCAATTTTCATATATTTTTAGGTTTACTATTCTTATATTTTTAATGATTAATGTATTGTTTAGATTAGCCCTAAGGAATGCCTATAATTTAAAACAAAATGTCAGCACATAATAATACAATATTTTAGCATGATGTTTATATATTTTTTGACTGTATCTTCAACCAACCATTTCTTAAATTTAATATATATATATATATTTTTTTTTAAATCATCAATAACATAAATAGACTAAGTTGGTTACTGACGGTGATATCGAAGGAATTTTAATTATAAAGAATTATAATGATAAGTTGAAACACTGGCACACAGCAGTGTTTCAACTGCCTCCCGAAGTGCTACATGATGAAGATCTGCAAAGTGGGTCGAAACGTCGGGAAAAATTAAATAATACTATTTGTATAATTTAGTATTTATTTGACCGCATCCCCCCGATCAACTCCTTCTCATATTATATCACGGTCAACCATCTCTACATCATTATAAATAATTAATAATACCTGTCTTCTTGGACTGCTTTGACATCTATTATCAGCTTGGTATCCGGTTGAAGAAGAGGGATATGTTGTTGGTCAGTCAAAGCTGCGGCAAGTGTAATAACCTTAGCTTCCGTAATTGATACAATAAACAGATTTTCCTTAACTGTTTCTAATACTGAACAGTAAAATTTTTGGCCAACTAGCAGGTCAAATCGATCAATCCATTTGTCTGAAAAAATAATAGATATGTTATTCTTTTTAATAACAGTATTTCTTACATTAAATTGTTAGTAAAACGTGTAATTTTGTAAAGGTGGGACAAATGTGAATTATAAAAAATTACAATGATCTAGATTGTAAGAGAAGGGGTTGCTTTAAAAGGAGAATATGGCAAACAGACAATTCTGGAATTAGCATTACAATAATTGTACAAAACCAAAATAACAATGATTAATGATAATGATGGGTTCCTTATTAAAATAAAATATACCACTTCAATTAAAATAAATTTTTTTGTTTTTGTTTTGTCCTCCCCTTTTAGGCTATAAGAGTTTTTTTCCCGAGCCAGGGGGTAAGGGCGGGGTTAATGGCAGAGTTAAAAGACACCCTTGGCACCGGGACGCGAACTCGGTGTTATTTTATCATCTCTATACAGGTTGCCAGGCAATGCCTGGTGCTGTGCACACGCGTTAACCCGCTCGGACATCTCCGCCACAATTAAAATAAATTTGAAGAATACAGAACAAATGTTTAATTATAACTTTATTTTATTAAAGGAATTAACAACTTACCTGGTAATGGTTCTTTAATTTTCCCTGGTACTCTATCTACAGGTGTATCTACTACTTCGGTCATTGTTTGTACGGGAGCAGGAGCAGATGGCAGAGCTTCTTCTGATTTAGTTGAGCAAATCTTACCTAACAATCACAAAAGTAATACTTAGTCTAATGGAAGTTGTGCGACAACACTAAACACTAAAGTAAACTCATTTAATACAATACTTAATATTTTATTTTTATTCTGCACAAAAAAACATACAATTTTGTTTGAAATTAAATAGAAGTTTTTTTTTTTCTAGGCTCCTAGGACCCATTAGAAAGAACGCTGGGATGCCTAATATTTCTTGATGCAGTATAAAAAAAAAAAAATTATTAACATCAGGGAGAAACTTCATAAATAGCTTCCTCTCATTGTAACCTACAAATATTTCATTTACGAAAATTCTCGGAATTAGGGCATTTTCAATCTAGAGGTGGACAAACTTTGTCTATTTAATTGGGTACTAAAAACTCATAAATACCCATTTACTTTCCACTTGAATCATAAGATAAATTGAATACTAAGTCAAGAAAAAAGGTGGCCTTCAAAAATATTGAGCCTTTATAATTTGCTTAATATTTTTAAAGGTCACCTTTTTTCTTGACTTTAGGCTCAAGTTATCTTACAATTCAAGTCAAAGTTTTCCCTCCATTAGTGAGAGAACAAGATTGGTTCGGAGTTTCCGTGGCTGATTGTAAATAGTGTATATAGATAGCTTGTATCTAAGATGTTCGTTTTAGTTTTAGTTTTGTTTTTACTTACTTAGGGGAGTCGGGTAGCTCAGTGGTAGGGTACTGAGCTTCCAATGATAAAGGTCCCAGGTTCGAATCCTGGTTCTTGGCAGAAAATTCATTTATTCTGTTTCATTGGCCATGGGGTGACCCTGGGTCAGGAGACCCTCCTGGGCACACCCAGCCTCTGTAAAGTGGGTACCCTTAATTAAATAAATAATTAAAGGGGAAAACCTGGCGGTTGAGCATGATCTCGGTCAAATCACCTCCTTGCACAACCGTTGACCTAGAAACAGTGCTTTCCCTAAATAGTACTGAACCCAAGACCCTGCATGGGTTGTAGTGGTTCAGGATTTTTTTTTTTTTTTTACTTACTCATGTATGTATGTATGTATATATATATATATATATATATATATATATATATATATATATATCTTCTGTTCATATATCCTAATTTTGGTGTCTTGAGGTTTTATTTGTTTACAAAATTAGGCCAATTATCACCAAACATTTTATTGCTACACTATCAAATTCGACGTTTCGACCATACTAAGGGTCATTTTCAAGTCTTGATGAGTCCACCGTTATATATTCATCATTAATGTCGCAAATAATTTGCTCAGCAACATTAAATTGTCTACGTCATTTCTGGAGGGACTCCAGTATATAGTCCTGCTTTGTCCTCTGCTTTGTTCTTATTTCTATGTATTGTTTTGTTATTAATTAATCTATTTATGTTTCTGTCTATAGGGTGTGAATGTATCTCAAATTATCTTACGATTCAAGTGGAAAGTAAATGGGTATTTACGAGTTTTTAGTACCCAATTAATAGACAAAGTTTGCCCACCTGCAGATTGTAAACGACCCAATTCCGAGAATTTTCATAAATAAAATATTTGTAGGTTACAATGAGAAGAAGCTATTTACAAAGTTTCAGCCGGATGTTAATAATTTGATAAAAATAGGTCTGTACAACGGACTATTATTATTAAAATTAATAAAACATTTTTAAACTATTTATTCATGTCATGTATAATCAGTTCTTTAAAACACTAATAAATGGTTCTATCTAAAATTTATACTAATTCTGTAGATTACTGCCATCAAAGGGTTAACTAAAAATATATATCTTGGGTGATAAACATAACTATGAATAGAAAAAACTCAAAAACATTCAATTATAAAATAAAATAAATTTACATAAGCCATAATGGCTAGGCATGTTAAATTAACATAAAACTGGAGACATAAGAAGAGAAACTGTTTCCAACATACTAGAAAAATGACAAATGAATAGATCTCAGTGTACCTTGAATAGGTTGGCAAACTGTGATCTATAGGTTAAATAACACTTCTTCCTGCTGTTTTCACAGATGAATTAGAAATCATCTTATTCACCATTTAAAAAACTATATATCATTTTCAATATTTAAATACATCATCCTATCCTATATTAAAATTTGTACTATAGTTCTGAATCAATATATTTATCATATAGTAATTTATGTGTATATTTATATTTATATATAAAAGGTATTAAAATCCCAAAAAATCTCAAACTAAGGGTGTACAATGCTAAGATAAAACCAGTTCTAAAGGCTGCAAGACCTGAACACTAACCAGCACCCTACAAAAAAGTGTTGAAAGATTTGAGAGGAAAATATTCAGCACGATAACCGGAGAGATCTGGGATCAGAGTTCTAACACATGGAGAAGAAAGACCAATAAAGAACTGCTTACAGAAACTGGTCAATCAATATCCCATGTAGCTCGTAGCAATCCATCTGGAAACCTCTATGTAACAATGAATGCCTCGATAGAAGGTAAAAGACCACGTAAAAGGCTCAAAAGTAGATAGATAGTGAAAAGAGAATAGAAAATTTGGAATAAAAATAAAACGAAATATTTTCATATAAATAATAATATATATAACTAATAGTTATCTATATTCTATATATATACATATATATATAGTATATACTATATATATGCTTTGTTTTTTAAAAAAGAATTTTTGAAAATGGTTCATGGAACCGAAACGTAAAAAATAATGTTTGATAAAAAATTAATCATTTATAGATTAAACTATACACAAAAACTATGAATAACCAAAATAAGGTTGTTTAATATATATGTATGTGTGCGTGATTTATCCCCACATATATTATTACAGTAAGGCTAGAAATCGGTTTTGTACCAAATATAAAAGCTCCTGTCATGCTCAAATACCATGAATGGGGTACCGTTGGATTCAGAATTTCACGGGGAGAGGGGGGATTAGCGAATCATATTCTCCACTTTTGTTTTTCTTTCTAAAATAAATAAACTCGATACAAAAATTTTGCCAGGCTTCGATACTGGGACAAATTGGTTCTTGAAGATTTTGATGCGTACAGCAAGACCCGGATAGTTCCTCCAGAACTATCGGATCCTGCGTTTTTAAGCCGAAAAACGTACTATTTTCGAGATAACGCAAGGCATAGGGTTCGCATCCACACAAACTTACATTAATTGTAGTACTGTCATTGAATATATGTATCATTTCGTCGACTTGAGGCCTCTATGATCGAGAGAGGGGAGTTTATATTATTTATCGATGGTGTTTTTGATCGGCAAGCCATATCTTCGTTAATGTTTCACCAAATCTCAAGATTGAGCCTCCAATTTCAAAGGCTTCCTTCTCCTTATCCTTCTTTATCCTTCAAGCGAGTAAAATAGTCCAATCACCCAAAAAATTCAGGCAAACAAGTTATAAAGAAAATAAACTTTATTTGCAAATAACTGAAAAA